GCTATTCAACATAGTATTAGAAGTCCTAGCCACAGCAATCAGACAACAAAAAGAAATCAAAGGCATCCGAATCAGCAAAGAAGAAGTCAAACTCACTCTTTGCAGACGATATGACACTTTATGTGGAAAATCCAAAAGACTCCACCCCAAAACTGCTAAAACTCATACAGGAATTCAGTAAAGTGGCAGGATATAAAAATAATGCACAGAAATCAGTGGCATTTCTATACACCAACAACGAAACAGAAGAAAGAGAAATTAAGGAGTTGATCCCATTTACAATTGCACCCAAAACCATAAGATATCTAGGAATAAATCTAACCAAAAAGGCAAAGGATCTGTATTCAGAAAACTATAAAATACTCATGAAAGAAATTGAGGAAGACACAAAGAAATGGAAAAGCTTTTCATGCTCATGGATTGGAGGAACAAACACTGTGAGGATGTCTATGCTACCTAGAGAAATCTACACATTTAATGCAATCCCTATCCAAATACCATCCACTTTTTTTCAAAGAAATGGAACAAATAATACTAAAATTTATATGGAACCAGAAAAGACCCCAAATAGCCACAGGAATGTTGAAAAAGAAAAGCAAAGCTGGTGGCATCACAATTCCAGACTTCAAGCTCTATTACAAAGCTGTCATCATCAAGACAGCATGGTACTGGCACAAAAACAGACACATAGATCAGTGGAACAGAATAGAGAGCCCAGAAATGGACCCTCAACTCTATGGTCAACTAATCTTTGACAAAGCCGGAAAGAATGTCCACTGAAAAAAAGACAGTCTCTTCAACAAATGGTGTTGGGAAAATTAGACAGCCACATGCAGAAGAATGAAACTGGACCATTTCCTGACACCACACACAAAAATAGACTCAAAATGGTTGAAAGACCTCAATGTGAGACAGGAGTCCATCAAAATCCTAGAGGAGAACACAGTCAGCAACCTCTTTGACCTCAGCCGCAGCAACTTCTTCCTAGAAATATCGCCAAAGGCAAGGGAAGCAAGGGCAAAAATGAACTATTGGTACTTCATCCAGATAAAAAGCTTTTGCACAGCAAAAGAAACAGTCAACAAAACCAAAAGGCAATCGACAGAATGGGAGAAGATATTTGCAAATGACATATCAGATAAAGGGCTAGTATCCAAAATCTATAAAGAACTCATCAAACTCAACACCCAAAGAACTACTAATCTAATCAAGAAATGGGCAGAAGACATGAACAGACATTTTTCCAAAGAAGACATCCAAATGGCCAACAGACACATGAAAAAATGCTCAACATCGCTTGGCATCAGAGAAATCCAAATCAAAACCTCCATGGGATACCACCTCACACCAGTCAGAATGGCTAGAATTAACCAGTCAGGAATGACAGATGTTGGCGGGGATGCGGAGAAAGGGGAACCCTCCTACACTGTTGGTGGGAATGCAAGTTGGTACAGCCACTTTGGAAAACAGTATGGAGGTTCCTCAAAAAGTTGAAAATGGAGCTACCATACAACCCAGCAATTGCACTACTGGGTATTTACCCCGAAGATACAAATATAGTGACCCAAAAGGGTACGTGCACCCCAATGTTTATAGCGGCAATGTTTACAATAGCCAAACTATGGAAAGAGCCAAGGTGTCCAGCAACAGATGAATAGATAAAGAAGATGTGGTATATATACACAATGGAATATTATGCAGCCATCAAAAAAAAAAAAACACACGAAATCTTGCCATTTGGAAAGACATAGATGGAACTAGAGGGTATTATGCTAAGTGAAATAAATCAATCAGAGAAAAACATGTATCATATGATCTCATTGATATGAGGAATTCTTAATCTCAGGAAACAAACTGAGGGTTGCTGGAGTGGTGCGGGGTGGGAGGCATGGGGTAACTGGGTGATAGACATTGGGCAGGGTATGGGCTATGGTGAGCTCTGTGAATTGTGTAAGACTGTTGAATCACAGATCTGTACCTCTGAAACAAATAATACGTTATATGTTTAAAAAAAAAAGATAGGAAGGGAAAAATGAAGGGGGGTTTCAGAGGGCGAGACAAACCATGAGAGACTACAGACTCTGAGAAACAAACTGAGGGTTCTAGAGGGGAAGGGGGTGGGGGGATGGGTTAGCCTGGTGATGGGTATTAAAGAGGGCACATATTGAATGGAGCACTGGGTGTTATACGCAAACAATGAATCATGGAACACTACATCAAAAACTAATGATGTAATGTATGGTGATTAACATAAAATAAAATAAAATTTTTTTTAAAAAGTGATACAGCCTAAAAACTGTTAAACTTTCAGGTGAACAAGTTCTGTAGATCAGTAGGCTATAGAAGAATACCTCCTTAAGATATTCTTTAAAATCACCTCCTAAATTTTATACAGGAAAGCATATGAGAAAAAAAGGATTTCAATGCTGATGAGACAGGCTTATTTTTTTAAGGACATTGGCAAACAAACATATATGTTGTAAATGGCATTTCTGTTGACAAAAATATTGTGATCAGAGGTTGTAGAAATCTGTATTTCCCCTCAGAGCAATAGTTCAGCATCTATTAATTCAGTGTTCATAACAACTTTGTAGAAAACTACCACAAATAACAAGAATCACTGTGTATCATAGAAGCCTATAAAATTGCCATGGTTTGTTATGCCAGGCTTTTAGTTAAGCCAGAAATAAAAGAATTACCTAGAAATTCTTGTCAGAATGCAATAGAATAAGAAAAACTTAAAATGACCGTAAAGGAGAAATCAAACATTTTATTATGCGCAGAGTATATTGTTTGTATCTCAAAATCTAAGCTAATCAATGAAAAAGTTATTAAAAATAATGAGAGTTCAGTAATTTTTTTGAATACAAGGTAATTTTATGTTTATAAAATTCAATGTCACTTATTTAATTAAGCAATTATGTGTTAGGAAACAAAATAAAAATAAAGTAACTTTAATGTCAATATAAATGCAAATATGAGTATTTTTTAACAAAATAAAGTCTCTTGCCATTTATAAAAACTCCACAAACCTTTACTAAATCTTTTAGAAAAGAAAAACTGAAATAATTCAGCAGATATAGTGACAAAAAGACAACTTTTCAAAATGGATTCCTAAATTTACAGTTATTTAATTAAAAACTTTTAATAAAGTTTGGAGATTCATATAAAATTAATCTGAAATATCCTGGTAGAATAAATGAGCAAGAATTGCTATGAACACTTTGAAAAATGGAGATTCAGTCAGAGAGGTAGGTTGTAGATAATCTCAACAGAACAACACAAAAAAACAGAAGAGTATAATAATAATATAAATATGAAGACAGTAAAAATAGCAATAGATATAACTGAAAAAATCTTCTCTTTATTATTAAAAATTTGTCCCCTTTGGAATTCCCATCATGCAGTTAACAGACTCCTACAGAACTCCTTAGTGTCCTTTGAGTCCAGGGCATTAACAAGCCAGCCCCAGGGCGATATGTTGCTCTATGCCTCTCACAAACCAGAAATTTCAGTGTTTGGAGCTGATTCTATGCCTCCCTCCTTCCGTTTTACACATCCTATCATTTCTCTCACCTGCATAAAACACCCTGCTCTTTCTTTTGTTTCACAGGGCATAGTTAATCTATGTAAATCCTAGTCACTAGCCCTCATTCACTAGATATTTCAGCACCTGACAGCTTTCCTAAGAACCAAGGGCATCCAGGATGACTTTAATTTCCAAAAAGATGATCTGCTTAACATCCTAGCCTTTCAATTCCTTTTTCTCCTTTTCTCCATTAAATATCTACTTTTGTCAAAGAAAATTTGTAACACAGAATTAAAGAGGCAAGGAAGACTTTATTCAAGACTATTGCAACAGAAATCAAGACTTTAGCAACAGAGGAAAGAACTCAATTCCTCTGAAACAAAGGGCAAGAGAGTTTTTAAGCACACAGGGGGAGGTGAGAGACTAGTTGAAAAGTACTGGAAACACTGGGAGTTGGGGGTGTTTGTCAATGCAATTAGGTCATCTGTTTTTGCTAATCAGTTCTTAAGAAAGTTAGGTTCCTATCTACCCACAGAGACTAGGAGATAGGGATTCTATCTTTCTTGATGATTATATTTCAAAGAGATGGCTCCCAATATTTTGGGAAAGACATTTCTGGACTGTAAAACTGGCAAGTGATTGGCAGATTTATATCTCAAAGGAGTAAAGAAGAATTTATAATACAAGTTTTCCAAAGTAAGTGCTCTCAGAAAAGGGGGATCAAGGCACACAGTCACAAAGAAACCTATCTAAATTTTAGTCAAGCTGAGGGAAATGTTCAGGCCTTTTTGGTCACTCTACTATGACTATAGTTAGAGCTAAATTTGTCTAAACTAGTTGTGCATTCAGGTGTTACAGCAGTGCAGTGAGTTGGCATATAAGGAAACAAAGGCCTCATACAGCCCAGAAACAACCTCAGTTCCAGGAGAAAGAGGCCATATTCCATGCCAACCATAAGAGGTTCACACAGTCCCTCAGAAGGTTACACAGCCCTTGCTCGTACTTTCATACTTTCCTTGTCCATTACTCTTCCTTCTTCTGGAGGTTTTGAACTGTAGCTGTTATTTTTGTCTTAATGTATGTTCATTATAAATTCTATCTCCTTAACTGTAAAATGAGAAAGATGTTGTACCCGTTTAAATACTAATCAGCTTGAAGGTCAAGGAAGCCTTTTTTGGTGGGTAGGAAAGGTGACTGAAGAAAGACCATATTTTTATTCTTCTGTATTTTTTCATTGGATCTTTTTAAAGGAAAATCTGTAGGCATACAGGCACCAAAATGAGAGATAGGAAGAACCTAGCCTTCATCAAGTGTTGCTCTGTGATTTCCAATTTTAGTTAAAATTGCAAACTGCTTTAAAGTACCATCAGGTACTTTATGCCTGCACCATAGTTTTTGATCCTTAGATAATGGCTTCTTCCAAACTACAGAATAGCAACTTTACTAATCTTCCAATATTATTCTTTTCCAGGCTGTGACAAAGACATGCTGATCAACATTCTAACTCAACGTTGTAATGCACAAAGGCTGATGATTGCGGAGGCATACCAGAGTGTGTATGGCCGGGTAGGGTCTCTTCATCTTGACCTGTTTCTAGGGCAAACTCCTGGGAAATCACAACCCTTTCAGAAAACAGATACTGTTATTCTTTTCAGTCTCACAGATTACAAAGATCTCAGACTCTACTGTATGTCAGAAACAGTTCCTATGCCTCTACCATGTTTCAAGGAATGTAAGAAAGATGTATCTATGTGTGAGGTATGTTCACACTTACAGTGACTCCATCAGTCCTCTCTCAAAAATCATTCAGCTCCATAAAATGAAAGTTCTGATAGTCTTACACTGCTAGTTGGTCCAATTAGGCTAAAATGTTACGCTGGAAACACCCCTGTGTCAAGCTTTAGGGAAGGCATAGAAAGGGCTAATGATCACTGGGTCAAAAAAATAAGATCTTTCCTGCAATTCTCCACAGGTCTTCACCTAACTCTCAACCAAAGTGAATTCTGACTAGCTTTTCTTCTCACAGCATGCAGTTGTAGAGACCATTAAAAAAGAATGGCAGTTAAAAATAGTTTAAGGCAATAAAACTATCCACAGTGCTTTAAAGTAATCACATTCTAATTTCAAAGCAAGTACCATTAAAGATTCCTTTCTTTTGTTATGCATTTAAACCACAGATTCAGAACAAAAACTCTTCAGGCCAAAGGGCCTGAAATGCAATTACTTTGTCAACTGAGCATTACTGATGAAACACTATCATAAAACTTTCTCTATAGAGTTAGCTCTTATAAATTCACTCCATCTCTAAACCTCAGTCTTTGAACAGCTATAATACATAAAATGAAGGATAGCTCTCTGTTGTAAAATAAATTAATAATCGAAGAAGCTACCACTACTAGTTATATTAGTTGAATTTAGCCATAAAAGGAAACCAGTTACGCTTTTTTTTTTCCAGGTAAAACTGCTATCGTAGCTTATATTCCTATGATACCAGTGCTAGTTTTCTTTTGAAAGAGAACATAAAAACTATAAAAGTTCTAGCATCACTAATCTAATATTGTTTTAATAGGCATATGTCATAAGAATGGTCATTTTTCAGTGTTTTTTTAACCCAAAGGTTTGCATACATCTTTGCATTTTATACATCAAGTTAATTTAGGTTGAAGGCATTACTTTACTATATTCTACAAAATTACACTAAAACAGATTAAAACATTAAGAAATGAGATACTCAAGGAATGTAAAATACATTGAACAATTTATACTCTCAAAGGTCTCAAAGTTTGTTAAACTCTACCTTCTGTTGAACAATCTGTATTGCATGGAAATCTTGGCTAACAACACAATCTCACCAGTGGAAGACAATGAGTCATGCTGGCCCCTTTCCTCCAAAATATCCTTGTCATACAGTCAGTTATCAAGCCTTGAAAATTATTTTTCCTCTCACATTTCTCTCTTCTTCTCTCACTTACGCAGTCTTGATTCATTTGGTACCCAGACTAATGTGAAACTTATAACTGGTACCTGCTACCTTCGTGCCTCCAACTCTGGTCTAGCCTCCACAGTGAAGCCAGAATGTTTCCAAATCTAGATTTCTGCCTCCCTCATTCCATCCCTGAATGTTTATCTTATTTCTGCCTCACAAATATCCACAGGTCCATGGAATAAACCAATACCTACCCAGGGCATACAAAGCCTTGCTTACCTTGTTTCTGTTCTCCGTTTTATTCCCTCTCCCCCTTCACACACCACTGACTGCAGCGAAACTGAACTAGTTGTACTTCTACAAATTAACTGTGCCTGCTCCCTTACCTGTAATCAGGGTGTTTTATCTATTTCAATGGCCTGACTCCCCCCCTCCACAAGCTGCACACCTGCCCATCGTCCCAGACACCGCACACTTCCTCACACCACTAACCCTAAACAGAGTGGAATGGACTCGTGCTGCTACTGCATTCTTTACAAAATTTCCCCCCGCCCCCGCCCCAGTACCTAATGACACATTAGTGAGCTTGTTTATATGTGTTTCCCTTTACCCAAGTCTAAATCCTCAAAAGTTGGAATGCATTTCATCCAGAAAGTTTAGCACAAGTGTCTATTTAACATGCCAAGATTGCTTAATTATGTTTATTGAAAGAGTGGGAAGGCATAGTTTTGGCTGCTCTTATAAACCTTTTCTGCCTGTCACACTCACCCTCTGCCCTGGGCTAGGTGCTTCCTGCTGGGGTCCCAGAATTCCCTGGACATACTGCTACCATGGCCTTGACACACTGGGTTGTGTTGGTTTACTTTTTTCTCTTGATGACTAGACTGTAATCCCCTAGAAAATCAGGGACCAGGTTATTTGCTACTATCCCTCCAGAGCTCAGCCCAGGCTCTAACATAGAAGATGAATTTCATTTACAGAATAAGGGAATCTAAGAAATTATATTTTGCTTATTTACATTTTTGTTTAAAAAAAAGGAGGGGCTATCCCTGTGTTATCCACTTTATACTTTTGTTATCTTCTGCTATCTTTCCCTTGCTGTGGTGAGAGTTTATAGATTTCCTGTATGTTAGTCTTTGATATTTTTATTTTTTATTAATATGGATAATTAAGATTTGACAGAATTATTTTTTTAGCTGCTGAGCAAAGTGCAAGTCTAAGCATGCTTCATAAATACTTATTACTTGATATTTTACATTAGTGAAGAGCCGCTGAATTTCATCAACCACTTTTCTTCACCCAAAGCACACTAATCCCTACTCTCAAATGAAAAGCCTTTTGGAATGCCTCTGACAGACATATTTATCAACATAATTTTTTTAAAGATTTTATTTATTTATTTGACGGAGAGACATAGTGAGAGCAGAAACACAAGCAGGGGGAGTGGGAGAGGGAGAAGCAGGCTTCCCACTGAGCAGGGAGCCCGATGCGGGGCTCGATCGCAGGACCCTGGGATCATGACCTGAGTCGAAGGCAGACGCTTAACGACTGAGCCACCCAGGCGCCCTTTTTTATTTACTTATTTATCAACATAATTAATGAGGTCACTCCTATCTTCCACACCAAAGTAAGTACTAGGCTATAGCCAGGCAGTGAAACCAAGGGAACAATAAAACACCTCTGGGGCTAGGCAGAGAAACTATACATAGCTGATAAGTTTAGCAATTAGACAGGGATTCCTGAATGGGGTTCAAATTCAACCTTGCAGTAATTTATTCTCTCAATGTTCATCTGAAACAGGGATAATCAGCTCTGAAATATCCTGGCATCTGGAATTCATTAAAATTGTGGTGTTGGTTATATAATTTAGTGCAGAGGCTAAGTTGCCCTGAGTCACACAAAGTTAGAACTTAAACCAAGGTTATCTGGCTCTAAATCGTGTCTTTCAAAGTTTCTCAATAACACCTGCTGTTTTCAACTGAATAAATACCAGATTTAACAAGAGCAGATATCTATACCGTTAACTCCCTCATATTCTTCAAGGCTTTGCTCAATGTCCACTACTCAAGAGGGCCTAATCTGATTGCCCTTTTTAAAACTGGCACCTACCCCAAAGCCTATGCCAGCACCCCAGATCCCTTCCACCTGTTGTTTTGGGTTTTTTTCTATAACACTCACTGCCTTCTAATATTCTACATAATTTATTTACATATAATTATTATTTATTGTTTGCCACCTCTCCCTAATATAAGCCCCACAAGGAGAGGAATCTTTGTTTGGTTCACTAATGTGTCCAAAGCACTTATGACAGTGGCACATAGCTGGTATTGCAGACTCAACAGCAGCCCCTCAAAATTTAAATGCTGAAGCCCTAATCTCCCAAAGTAACTGTGTTTAAAGATAGGGCATTTTGGGTGCCTGGGTGGCTCAGTTGGTTAAGCGACGGCCTTCGGCTCAGGTCATGATCCTGGAGTCCCTGGATCGAGTCCCACATCGGGCTCCCTGCTCGGCAGGGAGTCTGCTTCTCCCTCTGACCCTCCCGACCCTCCCCCCTTTCATGCTCTCTCTCTCTCTCAGTCTCTCTCTCAAATAAATAAATAAAATCTTTAAAAAAAACATAAATAAAAATAAAAATAAATAAATAAATAAAATAAAATAAAATAAAATAAAATAAAAATATAGGGCATTTAAGGAGATGATTAAGGTTAAATGAGGTCATAAGGGGGGGGTGGCTAATTCTATAGGACTGCTGTTCTTAAAAGAAGAGACAGAGATACCAGCAGTGCATGCACAAAGGAAAGATCATGTGAGGACACGACAAGAAGGCAGTCATATGTAAGCCAAAAAAAGATGCCTCACTAGAAACCAGCCCTACCAGTACGTTGATCTGGGACTCCCAGACTTCAGACTGTAAGAAAATAAATTTCTTTGGTTTAAACCACCCACTTATGGTTAGCTGTTAGGGCAACCTGAGCAGACTAATGCAATTGATACTCAATAGAGTGATGTGGGGAGAAGTTTAGATGACAGAAGAGTAGGGGTATTCTAAGCTTGCCTCATCCCTCAAACACAGCTAGTTAAATATCAAATCATCTTGAACACCCAAGAAATTTATCTGAGGACTGAGAGATCAAAACTGCACAACTAGAGATAGAAAATCAGCCACATTGTGGAAGACAGGAGCTGTGGAGAGTTGATTTGGGGAGGAAAGAATCACAGGTGCTATGAAGGGGAAGGAACCCTGATCACAGAGAAGCGAGAGAGAGAGAGAGAGAAAGAGAGAGAGAAAGCACACACACGGGATTGCACAAGAAAAATTCTTCCCCAAAACCACTGACCGGAAAAAGGAGAGGGACTGTCTACCACAAGATTTTATAAAGAGTGGAGCACAAAGTCTGAAGTTTTGGTGGTCCACACCATCGCCAGGGTCATGCCTGATGGGCTTGGCAATGCTCCGGTGGGAGAGGAAGGTGGAAATCTGGGAGTGGGCAGCATGGTCAGAGGATACCCTGGGCCACACAGGGAGAAACATTTCCCCTGCTTGGAGTGCATTTGGGAATGGTAGCACAGCCTCTCTAGGGACAAAAATACTGGTGGTGCCAACATGCTGCCCTGTTCCCTAGCATAGGAACAAAAAGAC